GAGACCATCCTGGCTAACAAGGTGAAACCCCGTCTCTACTAAAAATACAAAAAATTAGCTGGGCATGGTGGTGGGCGCCTATAGTCCGAGCTACTCAGGAGGCTGAGGCAGGAGAATGGTGTAAACCCGGAAGGCGGAGATTGCAGTGAGCCGAGATCTTACCACTGCACTCCAGCCTGGGTGACACAGTGAGACTCCGTCTCAAAAAAAAAAGAAGGAAACGATGCATATTTATTGAATTTGCCATATGCAAACCACTGCCCAAGAGAGAGGACTTTTAACTGCTGTCATATAAATCATGGATTTTTTGGCTGGGCCCAGTGGCTAATGCCTGTAATCCCAGAACTTTGGGAGGCCGAGGCGGGCGGATCACGAGGTCAGGAGATCGAGACCATCCTGGCTAACACGGTGAAACCCCGTCTCTACTAAAAATACCAAAAAATTAGCCGGGTGTGGTGTCGGGCGCCTATAGTCCCAGCTATTTGGGAGGCTGATGCGGGAGAATGGTATGAACCTGGGAGGCAGAGATTGAAGTGAGTTGAAATAGTGTCACTGCACTCCAGCCTGGATGACAGAGCGAGACTCCTTCTCAGAAAAAAAAGAAAAAACAAAAAACCAAGGACCTTTTTAAATTTAAGAGGTAGCCCAAATGTGCTTACAATGATTAGAACATAAAAACCATTTGTATTATTCATTTCAAGTATGTTTTCAGTTCTCATTTGATGTAATGGCAGGCAGTGTCATGGTAGACACAATTTTGGAGTCCCATGGACCAGGTTTAAAGCCAGCCCTACACTTACTGGCTGTTCAACCTTCAGTAAGTTACTTAATGTTTCTGAGTGTTGCATATTCTTCTTCTGTAACATACAGACAATGGTCTGTCCTCCAGTGTTGTAGGATCAAATGAGATCGTGTACATTAACATGCATTTGGCATGCAGTAAGTGCTCAATAAAGGAGAGCTGTTACTGTTGGTTTCTGGCTTGAAAAACTTCCCTGAGGTTGCTCAACAAATCTGCAGCCACCCTGTACCAGGAGGCTTGGGATAATGAACAGTAATTTTAGGTAAATAGATAGAATAAAAGACCTTTCATTTATGTAACTATGAGGCCTGCTGTGTTATGATTTCTGAGACTCAGAGCAAAAAATGTTTATCTGGCAGGCAGCTTTCCCTGTAGAAAGATTAGTCTAAAATCTGAAATTCCACAGTCTGGAATTCGGGGACTCTCACACAAAATTCTGAACACACAGTTACCTCTCAATTAAATTAAGTGTGACCATCACATTTCACCATGAGTTAGGGATTCTTATTTTGGGAATCATCTTTAAAACCATATCCGATCATTTCAGGACTGGTTTCTGTTGCTTATTTCCATAGGACTTATGAAACATAATATCTAAGACCAACTTAGTGGATGGTTTGGAAAATATTGGGACATTTCATATCCTGGCCTTCTTCTGAGTCTTTTTTTTGACATTACTGTGTGCGTACACTTCCAAGATTAAATCTACATGTGTTTTATTTTACCCCTTACAAATATATTTTTAAAAAGGAAAGAAAGCTGGATTTTAAGGGTTATAGAAACACAGTTTTCCTTTACTAAGAAAGTAGAATTACAACTGACATAAAACTTGAACATGCCCGACACTGAAATAAACCTACCTGCATGTTTCCTATGACAAATAGTCCTAGTTTAACAAAACAAATGCAGATTTGAAGAAGTCAGTTCAATAATGTTACAGACAAAAATGATTTATGCCACATAACTTGAGAAATAACACTTTGTCCTTGTTGTCTATCATTAGGACTACCATTATAACTAATATTGGTTGTTTTTTTGTTTGTTTGTTTTTGTTTTTGAGACAGAGTCTCACTCTGTTGCCCAGGCTGGAGTGCAGTGGCACCATCTTGGCTCACTGCAATGTCTGCCTCCTGGGTTCAAGCAATTCTCCTACCTCAGCCTCCCCAGTAGCTGGGACTACAGGCATTTGCCACCATGCCCGGCTAATTTTTTGTATTTTTAGTAGAGGCGAGGTTTCACCATGTTGGCCAGGCTGGTCTCAAATTCCTGACTTCAGGTGATCCGCCCGCCTCAGCCTCCCAAAGTGCTGGAATTATAGACATGAACCACCACGCCTGGCCTTAATATTGTTTGTATTATCAAAAATAACATTGCTTGGCTGGGTGCGGTGGCTCACACCTGTAATCCCAGCACTTTGGGAGGCCGAGGCAGGTGGATTACGAGGTCAGGAGATCGAGACCATCCTGGCTAACACAGTGAAACTCCGTCTCCACTAAAGAATGCAAAAAATTAGCCGGGCATAGTGGCGAGCGCCTATAGTCCCAGCTACTCGGGAGGCTGAGGCAGGAGAATGGCCTGAACCCAGGAGGCGGAGGTTGCAGTGAGCCGAGATTGCGCCACCGCACTCCAGCCTGGGCGACAGAGCGAGACTCTGTCTCAAAAATGAAAACAAAAACAAAAATAAAAACAAACAAAAAAACATTGCTCACACCTGTAATCCCAGCACTTTGAGAGGCTGAGGCAGGAGGATCTCTTAAAGCAGGAGTTTGAGATCAACCTGGGCAATATAGCAAGGCCCCATCTCTACAAAAAAGTTTTAAAAATTAGCAGGGCATGGTAGCATATGCCTGTAGTTTTAGTACTCAGGCAGCTGAGGTGAGAGGATTGCTTGAGCCCAGGTGTTCAAGGCTGCAGTGAGTTTTGATTGTGTTACTGCACTCCACCCTGGGCAACAGAGTGACACCCTGTTTCTAAAAAAAGTAAAAAAAAAAAAAAAAAAAAAAATGAGTTGAATGCCAGCCAAGATCAACAAGTCTCTGAATTGGATTCAAGAAATTAATTACTAATTGGAAATCATTGAAAAGCACAGATTCCAATCAGACACAATTGGCCTGGCATACACATACTCGCACAAAACCAAAAACAGATTAGAGGCCATTTATGTTTCCAGGATAAAATATATTATAAATATTTTAAATTCAAACAATTAGATATAAATATATGGCTTTCACCTTCAAGTGAAACAACTGAAAAACATCAGAGTGGTGGTTACCTCAGGGCATTGTTAAGGGAAGGAAATAAAATTAAATGAGATAATGTAAGGGAAAGCCCCTAGTATATAATAGATGCTTATTAAATATTAATTGACAGTAAGAGTTATTTCATTTTCAAACTGAAACACATTAGCCATCATAGCATTATATTTATAATAACTTCCCACGTTTAGTATCTCCAGCTGTATAAGACTTGACTTCATAGATTGCTGTGTGGTTAGGTTTAACTAGAAAATACAACAATAGGTAGTATATATTCAGGAAAACTTGAATCTATGCTCCCATGTTAAACAATTATTTTAAAAAAGAAAACACAGTCAGACACAGTGGCTCAGGCCGGTAATTCCAGGATTTTGGAAGGCCAAGGTGGGCAGATCTGTTAAGGCCGGGATTTCGAGACCAGCCTGGGCCACATGGAGAAACCTCGTTTCAAAAGAAAAAAAAGAAAACACAAGAATATATTGTTATTACTTTCTGTTAGCTATATATCAGTAAGCTTTCTAGAGACAGTTTAAAAGACTTTTCAATAATGAGTGATCAATAATATCTCAAATTGAAAACATCAGAATTCGGGCTGGGCATGGTGGCTCACACCTGTAATCCCAGCAATTTGGGAGGCCAAGGCAGGCAATCACTTGCGGTCAGGAGTTTAAGACCAGCCTGGCCAACATGGTGAAACCTTGTCTTTACTAAAAATACAAAAAATTAACTGGGCGTGGTGGTGGGTGCCTGTAGTCCCAGCTACTAGGGAGGCTGAGGCAGGAGAATCGCCTGAACCTGGATGGGAGAGGTTGCAGTGAGCCCAGATTATGCCACTCTGTTCCAGCCTGGGTGACAAAGCAAGACTCTGTCCAAAAAAAAAAAAAAATTCAGAACTCTGAAATGAGATTGTTACTGGACTTTTATAGTGCTTTATCTAACATTTTTATCTTTAAAAATATTCATAAATGTTAAATAAGCAGATATTTATAATGGTAGATAATGAATTATAATGGTTAGGCAAACAGACTTTGGGGCTAAATTAAGGTTTTTAAATGAAAGTTTTCTTTTTTCTTTTTTTTTTTTTTTTAAGCCAGTTAAATTTAGCAGTCAGGGTTTGTTTACCAACTTTAGTGACACTAATGTTAATAAGTTCTGATAATCCACTACCACTGGACCAGCCAAAATGATGAATTTTTAAAATACTCCAAATGTTTAAAGTATTTAAATTGTTATATCACACAAGAGACAAGAGGACAAATATTGTATGATTTCACTTACATGAGGTACCTAGAATAGTCAAATTCATAGAGACAGAAAGTAGAGTGGTGGTGGCCAGGGGTGAGGGGAGATGGGAATGGGGAATTTGTGTTTATTAAATACAGTTTCCGTTTGGGAAGATGAAAAGAAGTTCTGAAGATGGATGGTGGTGATGGTTGTGCAACAATATGAGTGTACTTAATGGGATTCAAAATGCTTACAATGGTAAAATTATTTCTTTTTGAAAGGGAGTCTCGCTTTGTCTCCCAGGCGGGTGTGCAATGGTACAACCTCGGCTCACTGCAACCTCCACCTCCCAGGTTCAACCAATTCTCTTGCTTTAGCCTCCTGAGTAGCTAAGATTACAGGCACACACCACCACACCTGGCTAATTTTTGTATTTTTAGTAGAGACAGGGTTTTACCATGTTGGCCAGGCTGATCTCGAACATCTGACCTCAATTGATCCACCCGACTTGGCCTCCCAAAGTGCTGGGATTACAGGTGTGAGCCACCGTGCCTGGCCTAAAATGGTAAATTTTATGTAATGCATATTTTATCACAATTAAAAAATAGTAGCTAGTCACATCCAATATCAAATGTTACAACAATATAAAACATTACTTACAGTGGGAAATTGTCATTTGATAATGATTCAGTTTTACAACAGGTCACACGTGAACATACCCACTATCAAGGTGATGCCCATGCTGAGGGAGCTGACCCACGCGGTCAGGCCGCGGCTCTGGTGGAATTCTTCCAGCCATTCCACATTGAGGACACCCAGGGCCATCTGGGAGCCCATGATGAGGATGTGCACAAAGAAAGAGGAGAGCACCATCATCCAAGCCCATCCGCCATCAATGTTTGGGTGGGGCTTAAGTGTCTTTTTGTCTTTGGGGTCATCTTCAAAATCATACCCAATATCTTCATGACTGGTATACATTTTCCAAGATTTTTCTGAAATACATATAACAAATAATTTCATGGAACATCTAAATGAAAAATACCTTCATCTTCTCTGTACAGCTCTACCTCCCCATCATGGTCAAAGTGGCTCCAGTATCACATCTGATCTTCAGGTTAATCTTTGTCACCATACAGATTTGAAGATGCTCCTTACTGTTTCCCAGGATCAGGTGCTTTTATGAAACCCATTTCATCTTACAGCCATCACATATATAGGTATTACAATCTTGGGAATAGACTCAGAGAAGTAAGGTGATTTTCTAAGGCCTGTATTTAGTGTGGTCAGTTGGGAAACTAGGATTTGACCCCAGTTAGTCCTGACTCCAAACCCCATACCCTGTCTCCCTTACAGAGATGGATACTGACAGGTGACAAGAAAGATGTCAGAGAAGGAACATCTGGCTTCTGGCAGCCTTTCAGGGTAGCTTCACCTTGGTAGGGCCCCTAGAAGAGGATCTGGTTCTCAGTTTTTGTGGGTGCAAATGTTAATTTGTTAATTTGCATCCAGAGTGGATTAGCCTCAGGGGGTCTGGCTCATGCTAACCCAACTCAGGAGAGACTGATAATGCCAATTGATTACAATGAAAGACATAGCTTTCTAATAATGGTGGTACTTATGTCTCATTATACAAGACACATACTTTACCCCCCTCCACGCATCCCCATTCCTAGTATTTACATGGGGCACTTCATTAGTTACTAGAAAATTACTTCAAAAATAGGGTATCAGACTAAAGGAGTTTGAATAGATACTATGGTGACATACAGGTCACCAGGTGAGGTTACCAGGTAGGCAGGGGGTAGATCATGCAGGGCTCTTGTGAGTCAAATAAGGAGCTTGTAGTTTATCTTGTACATAACGAACAGCCATTGGCTGAATTTACATCAGGAGGAGACATAATGAGATGGGTACTTTGCATAGATCTCTCTCTCAAGATGTTTGAATGAGAGGAGGGAGGCTAGATGGAGCTAGAGGATGCTAGCTCCTCTTTTGTTTGTTTGAGACAGGGTCTTGCTCTGTCACCCAGGCCGGAGTGCAGTGGTGTGATCATAGCTCACTGTGGTCTTGAACTCCTAGACTCAAGGGATCTCCCACTTCAGCCTCCTGAATAACTGGGACTACAGGTACATGTCACCATGCCTGACTAATTTTCTTATGTATATATGTATGTATGTATGTAGAGACAGGATGTCACTATGTTGCCCAGGCTGGTCTTGAACTCCTGGCTTCAAGCGATCCTCCTGCCTCAGCCTCCCAAAATGCTGGTATTACAGGTGTGAGCCACTGTGCCTGGCCCGTTTCATGTTTCATAGTTTTTTTTTTTGGATGAGAATTAAGTGTGTGTACAAAGACAGGATAAGGAGCAGGAGTTGCAGGTGGAGAGACAGAGATATGGTGATATGATGATGATAATGACTAATCCTGGAGATGGCGAAACAGATTGGTCTTGATTAGGAAGAGAGACCCATCCTCTGAGTCTGGAGGAAGGAGCGGGTGGATGGACCTATGAGGGTAAGTAGTGGGATGGAAAGTCACATCTGATAGTTTAATTTCTTTGGTGAAGCAGGAAGTTAGGTTATAGGCTGAGAATGAGGAGGGCGGAGGTTGTGTAGGAGCCTTAATGCTCAAAATAATGGAAGAGACTGTTGCCTACAACGAGTGGAAATGATTGCTGGGCAGTTTCAAAGGTCAGGTTGAGCCCTGCAGGGTCCCACTACCCAGCTATGGCCATGGAGCACCAAGGACAGAGCCAGGGAGCACTCTGCCCCGGAGCTTGCAATAAGCTGGAGGACTTAAAAACAACAAACAGCTAAAAGTTGGTCTGCTTTCTAAATCATCACTACATGCCAGCAATTCTAGACAATTACACTGAAAAAAATGTTTAGCTGGTCTAAGTTCCAATTATGTTGAGTTTTAATTATGTATGTGTATGCTTCAAATTAGCCAGTTTTCATTTCTCATCCTTTTGTAAACATTGTATTCTACGTGGAAGTTATTTCAAGAACTCCTGGTTTTACAGTTGACCCTGGCACGTGTGTAGCGCGAGCTACACACATTAGTTGGGAGAGGAAGCTCCTAAGAGTCCCGAATTGTTGGTAAAACGATACCCACTTGGCAAAATCCACACCCACAACCCCTGTGGCGTTACGTGTTCCCGCCTTTCTCAGAACACTCTAGGTAAACTGTGCCAGCACAATTATTGTCCAGAAAAAGAACCAGATCTCGAGTCACTTCACTTCTGTCACTCTATGTACTCACTTGGAGATTCTAATTTACAATTTAAAAGAGTGAAACAGTGAAGACTGTGAGGTACAAAACCTTGGTTTGGAAAGTTACATTTTAAATTAATACTTGAAATGTTTTCTCAATTTGAACAATACCTTTTTTTTTTTTTTTTTGAGACAGAGTGTTGCTCTGTCACCCAGGCTGGAGGGCAGTGGCATAATCTTGACTCACTGCAACCTCTGCATCCTGGGTTCAAGCAATTCTCGTGCTTCAGCCTCCTGAGTAGCTGGGACTATAGGCATGTGCCACCGACACCTGGCTAATTTTTGTATTTTTATTAGAGACAGGGTTTCACCATGATGGCCAGGCTGGTCTTGAACTCCTGACCTCAAGTGATCCTCCTGCCTCAGCTTTCAAAGTGCTGGGATTACAGGCGTGAAACACTGCACCTGGCTCAATATCTTTAAAATTGAAACATATTCTTCTTTTAAACAGAAGAACAATAACATAATGAGTATTACTGACCATTACATGATTATTACTGAAAATCATTTTGTTGCCATGGCAGAGGGTGATGTAAAAAACGATCCATTCTGGGTGTCAAAGTCACTAAGAAGTCTCGAATTGTAGGGCTCTTCTCAGGAGTGTTCTGATGTGGATGGGTAGGAGAGAGGAGCAGATTGTGGCAAATTGCACAGTGCCTACAGCCTATTTCTATCCACACCTGAGTTAAGAAGTTTTTGTTTGTTTTTACCTTTTTTTTTTTGAGACAGGGTCTTGTTCTGTCACCCAGGCTGGAGTGCAGTGGTGTAATCTTAGCGCACTGCAGCCTTGAACTAGCAGGCTCCAGTGATCCTTCTGCCTCAGCCTCCCGAGTAGCAGGTACTACCGGCACACACCACCACAACTGGCTAATTTAAAACTTTTTTGTAGAAATGGACTTTCACCATGTTGCCCAGCCTAGTCTCAAGCAATCCTCCTGCTTTGCAATCCCAAAGTGCTCGATTACTTTACCTTTTTAAAGGCTATGTTTCCCCAAAACCCTAAAATACTCTGACCCCTTAGAGGAAAAGTTTGCTGACCCCTGGACTAGAGCATTGGTTCTGGCTAAGGGTTTATTGGGGAAAAAAATGAGTGTAGGGGAACCAAGGGTACCAGTGGAAGAGCAACTTAGTGGATCTGTCTGGGGTTCATCTTCTTTCTTTCCGTCACACCTTGTTCTCATTATTATTTTTACCTTTTAACTTATTCCATCCCTCAACAGCTGTCCAGTCCTCAGCCACTACAGCACCTATGTGCATTGCTGCTCTTGGCCTGGGTCCTTCCTCCTTCACACATCTCGCTACCTGCCATTATCCAGATTGCTGGGAGTGATAAAATGTTTATCTCAGAAGCCAATTTCCAGGCCGGGTGCACTGGCTCACGCCTGTAATCCCAGCACTTTAGGAGGCTGAGGTGGGTGGACCACCTGGGGTCAGGAGTTCGAGACCAGCCTGGCCAACATGGTGAAACCCCGTCTCTACTGAAAAGAAAAAAATTAGTTGGGCATGGTGGCAGGCGCCTAAAATCCCAGCCACTCGGGAGGCTGAGGTAGGAGAATTGCTTGAAGCTGTGGGAGCGAAGGTTGCAGTAGTGAGGCGAGATCACGTCGCTGCACTCCAGCCTGGGTTAAAGAGCGTAACTCCGTCTCAAAACAAAACAAAACAAAGCAAACGCCAATTTCTTCATCCCTTCGAGTTATCATTAGGATGGAGTCCCTTCAGCACCTTCTCCCAGCTATTGTGTGTGATTTTCTCTCCTTCCCCTCCTCTCTCCTTCTGGCCTCCTCACCCTCTTCTGCTCATCCTTCAAGATTCAGCTAATTTTTAATAGTGAAACCCTGAAACAGTGAAAAAAGACCCTGAAAACATCTTTACTATTCCAACATCAGAATATCTGTTAAATCAGTCGATTGTAGCATAGCTAGACAATGTAGGTCTGTCATCAATAATAAAGTTCACACTTTAGCGTGACCCTCTACATTTTCAAAGAGCCCTAGACAGCTTTATTTTTGACATATGTAATCATCTCTTTGTTATTTCTACCAAGACATGTATCCATAGGAAAAAAGACTGGAGCAAAACAAAGAAAGAAAAACAAAGAAAAATGTTGATGGAGATTATTCTTTGAACGATGGTCTTATCAGGAATTTCCCCCTTCTTTCTACATATCTTAGTGGTGAGAAATTTCCTCAATATGCCAGGTGTGGTGGCTCATGCCTGTAATCCCAGCAATCTGGGAGGCTGAGGCAGGAGGATTAGTTGAGCTCAGGAGTTTAAGACCAGCCTGGACAACAGTGAGACCTTGTCTCCGTAAAAAAAAATTAGCCAGGCACATGTGGTGACGCATGCTTATGGTTCCAGCTATCTGGAGGCAGAGGTGGGAGAATTGCTTGAGCTTGGGAAGTTGAGGCTGCAGTGAGTCGTGATCATGCCACTGCACTACAGCCTGGGAGACAAAGTGAGACCCTGTCTCAAAAAAAAAAAAAAATTCCTTAATAGATACATATTACCTGTATCATAAGAAAATAAAAGCCTATCTTTTAAATATTTTTTTTTTTTTTTTTTTTTTTGAGATGGAGTCTCGTTCTGTCGCCCAGACTGGAGTGCAGTGGCCGGATCTCAGCTCACTGCAAGCTCCGCCTCCCGGGTTCACGCCTTTCTCCTGCCTCAGCCTCCCGAGTAGCTGGGACTACAGGCGCCCGCCACCTCGCCCGGCTAGTTTTTTGTATTTTTAGTAGAGACGGGGTTTCACCGTGTTAGCCAGGATGGTCTCGATCTCCTGACCTCGTGATCCACCCGTCTCGGCCTCCCAAAGTGCTGGGATTACAGGCTTGAGCCACCGCGCCCGGCATATCTTTTAAATATTATCTGGATCAGCCTCTTACCTCCAGGTAAATTAGTGGCTGACTTGTAAAAGAGAAAACAAAACAAGACGACCTCTATTGGGAAGTCTTCCAGTTTGTCTTGGGTTTCGGGCGTGTGTGTGTGTGTGTGTGTGTGTGTGTGTGTGTGTCTGTGTGTATCTGTCACCCTCCCAGTATCTGAGCCTACTTGGGGCTAGAAAGGGATGGGGCAGCCCTTGCTCTCCAAAGCTCACAGCGCAGGGCAGAGTTGCACTGTCAAAGGGCCAGTGGATGAGCCCAAAGAGGGTTCAGAAGGGATGGCTGGTGGTTGTCTTCCCTCTGCCTCTGTTGTGTGCAGAATCCTGAGGAGCCAGAAAGAGGAGGACCAGGCAGCTTGACACAAGGTGTGAACGGCTCATAGAAATATCATGTTGCTAACCATGGGACAATGCTCAGCTGTGTTTAATATGATGAAACAACAACACATGGCGTTTTCCTGAAGTTCATTTACAACAAGAAAGGCTTTGAAGTAATACAAATTTAAAAGTTAAGAGTTTTTTAGGCCGGGCGCCATGGCTCATGCCTGTAATCCCAGCACTTTGGGAGGCCGAGGTAGGCAGATCACCTGAGGTTGGGAGTGTGAGACCAACCTGACCAACATGGAGAAACCCTGTCTCTACTAAAAATACAAAATTAGCCGGGTGTGGTGGCGCATGCCTTTAATCCCAGCTACTCGGGAGGCTGAGGCAGGAGAATCGCTTGCACCCAGGAGGCAGAGGTTGCAGTGAGCCAAGATCGCGCCATTGCACTCCACCCTGGGCAACAAGAGCGAAACTCCATCTCAAAACTAACGAATAACAACAACAAAAATACAAAAGTTATAGTTTTTCAGCCCATGGGTCGAAATATTAAGCACTTTTCTAAATCAATATTAAGAACTTTATATTCTTACTGACTTATTTATGGGTGAAGAGATGTAGGTGCCATCAAACTGCTCTTGATATTCCCAGTTTGTTCATAAATAAGTGACACTGAATAGCATTTAATGGACAAATTTTATTCAAGAGGCACAAGGGTGCATGTAGACTATAGTGTCAAATGCAGAGCAGTGGCGGCAGGCAGAGGTGGGGCAAAAAGTTCTTTTACTTTTTTGAGACGAAGTCTCACTCTGTTGCCCAGGCTGGAGTGCAGTGGCACGATCTCGGCTCATTGCAACCTCTACCTTCCAGGTTTAAGCGATTCTCCTGCCTCAGATGCCTGAGTAGCTGGGACTACAGATGCACACCACCATGCCAGATAATTTTTGTATTTTTGTAGAGATGGAATTTCACCATGTTCGTCAGGCTAGTCTTGAACTCCTAACCTCAAGTGATCCACCTGCCTTGGCCTCTCAAAGTGCTGGAATTACAGGCGTGAGCCAGCATGCCTGGCCCAAAAAGTTCTTTTGGATCCGCAAGAGGCCCCTATAGATCTGCTAAGCAATGAAGTCATTTGTATTTCACACTGAAATCTCTCCAAAAGTAATTACTGTTTTGACTATTCATGGTTAACTTCTTTTCTAACTAGTTAATGAAAACAAAATAGAAAAACAAATGTTTATCCCTTCAACTCCAAGATTGCTTTTAGCATTCATATAATTATATACATATATAATTATATATGTATTTATATAAGATATAAGAATAATTTTAATATTGTAATCCTACTCCACACCTGGCGAGAGAGAGAACTTAGAGGGTGTATCTGTACCCCCAGGCTCCATATCCTTGTCCACCGTAGGGCCTTCGAGCTCCCTTACATTTTCTATATCCTGACATACATGTAGAAGGACAATATGCATGTGGCACACTGACACAGTGAATGTGGGACTTCTGCTAAGGATTAATATGTAAAATGTGACAGAACATGCTGGCTCATGCCTGTAATCACAGCACTTTGGGAGGCTGAGGGGGTTGCATCACTTGAGATCAGGAGTCTGAGACCAGCCTGGCCAACATGGTGAAACCCCTTCTCTATTAAAAATACAAAAATTAGCCGGTGTGGTGGTGTGCACCTATAGTCCCAGCTATTCGGGAGGCTGAGGCAGGAGAATTGCTTGAACCTGGGAGATGGAGGTTGCAGTGAGCTGAGATGGCGCCACTGCACTCTAGCCTGGATGACAGAAGGAGACTCTGCTTCAAGAAAAAAAAAAAAGTAAACGGTAACCCACTCTAAGCAAGCTTGCTATTGGAAGCTTGGCAAAAAATACTAGGGCCTCGTTCTGAAGAGGGTGAAATAAGAAAATGGGAAGATTACGGGAGCAATAGTCAGCCTTTCATTCTACCCAAATGAGTTCATAGACGATGAAAAAGAAATTGTAAATGGGGGATAACATATGTAGGCTATGAAATTGGGTCAGCTACATATTTACGTGATAATAGGCAGAAATGAAAATAACAGATCCTTCTAGGGTGTATCAGATATTAGAACAAAATTAAATTTTCTACAGCTGTGTACAAAGTTTTACAAGCAAGTCTTTTTTTTTTTTTCTTTTCTTTTTGACGGAGTATGGCTTTGTCGCCCAGGCTGGAGTGCACTGGTGAGATCTTGGCTCACTGCAACCTCTGCTTCCCGAGTTCAAGCGATTCTCCTGTCTCAGCCTCCCGAGTAGCTGGGACTACAGGTGTGTGCCACTGCACCTGGCTAATTTTTGTATCTTTAGTAGAGAAGGGGTTTCGCCATGTTAGCCAGGCTGGTCTCGAACTCCTGACCTCGGATGATCCACCCGCCTCGGCCTCCCAAAGTGCTGGGATTACAGGCGTGAGCCACCGCGCCGGGCCAAGGCATTCATTTTTAATTTGGCTATTGTTATTACATTGCATGTGGTAAGCTCATCACACATAAGGAAAGCGGGAAGCACCAAGCTAAAATTAAAATTACCGTCTCCCCCAAAGTTACGCAGAGCGTGGTGGTAGCCACTCTGCATCCCATGCAGGTGAGTGCGGGGTTCACCCTTAATTCGGCTCTGCAGGCACTTCCGCGCTCTCCACCTGGTGTGTACAGGGCATTTGGGGCCTTTAGAGGGCGCACTTGCAGCCAGCAGGCTGAAGAGGCTGCCGCGGAGAAGGCTGGGGAGCTGAGCTGGTGCAGAGACAGCCCAGGAGAAAAACAGAACCAAAAAAATCACGCAGAATAAGGAGGACTCAACACATACATGCTTCTGGGTCACGGACTGTGCTTGGTGGCTTCTCCAACGCGATCCAGTCCAATTGGCATGAATGTCCCCATTTTACAGATGAAGAATCTGAGCCATCAAATGGGAGCAATGAAGCTTAGAGGGGTTAAACTAGCAGGCGGTGGAAACCAAATCGGAAATCAGGCCTGCAGGATCCCAAGCCTGTTTTACCTCCTCCCACCCCCAACACTCCCTCTCTCCCCTTTCCTCTTTCTCTCATCTCTCTCTCTCTCACACACACACACACACAGACACAGCCGCACACGCACGCACACGCAAACAAAGAAGCCAGACAAGGCAAAGGAGAATCTCTCTAATCCCCAATAATGGCCCTCAGTCATCCTTGTTAATGAGCCCGAATCAACTTTTCCTCAAGCAAAACACGGCTTAATTGGAAAGCAGAGTTGAGCTCCTAAAACATCGTCATGGCCTTGGCAGCGTTTAGCACCGAAATGGCCGTCCCCGGTCCCTCACCCCATTTCAGCCTCTCTTGAGGAGCCTCGATCAGAAGCGCTAAGGGGGCCCAGCCTCTGCGCCCCCTGGGCGTGGGATCGTGCCCGCGGGGTACGGCCTCCGCGCCCCACCCTCCGAGCTCCCTCCCCCACCCGCGCTTGGTGCTCCCCCTCGGCACCCCGAGATCACGTCCCCGCTTCGGGCACCACGCATCCCTCGGCGCGTTCGGAAGCCAGCAGCCCCGCGGGGAAGCCGGGCAGGCTGCAGCACCACAGCCTGTGCAGAGAGGCATCCGCAACCCCCGATGTCTCTAGGCGGAACCTGGGGTCCTCCGCTCTGCGCCTCAACACTGTCCAGTTCGAGTTCCAAACCGGCCAGGAGAGCAGACGGGCAGCGAGGCTGGGCTCCGGGCAGAGAGCGCCTCTCCAGCCAGACGGGGGTGCCCTGGATGACGCTTGCGGGGTCCCGGCCGGCTTGAGCAGCAAGGCGCGCGTCCCCAGGCTCCGCCTGGCGGTCTGCCCTGAACCGCCGGTTACCCTGCCCGCCCGCAGATCCCGAGCCCCCGCGGCGGCCTTTGTACTACCACCCGCCCCGGCACAGCCTCGCCCTCCACCGCCCGGGCAGCCTTTCCGGAGCCTGCCTTGGGCTGGGGCCAGCCCTTCCCGGGGGTTCCTGGGGTGCAGCGGCCATCCGAAACCAGGCTCCGATGCCCCCAGCGCCGCTCCATTCCCCAGGCCCGCGGCGCGCGCGGCCTCGGATACTCACCGCCCGAGGCCCGCTGGGCTGCGGCCTCACTCGGCTCCACGCCCGGATCCTCGAACTTGCTGCTCTGCTTGGAGCCCCCTGAGCTGCTGGGTATAGAGATTTGTTGCAATGTTGCCTATCATCCTGGAGATGCGGGTGCCTACAGCTCTGCTCTCCGCCGGGCTCGGTGCGCTCTGTGCCGGGCTCCCGGGGTCTTCCGCCGCTCGCTGCCAGGCCAGATGAGCGTTTGGTGGAGCCGAAAGCTCGACGCCGCAGTCCAGGTGGCTTTAAAAAGGGTGCGTTTGGAGGTGCCCAAACCTAACCTGGGCTTCCTTCCAATCGGAGCAATTTCAAATCTTCATGCTCGTTCATTCCTATACCGGCTAATTCTGGTTTGGCAGGGAAAAAAAAATGTAGTCACCTCACATGCACACTCTTGTGGCCGGTTGAAGTTTATAGCTTTGGCTGAGGTTCCGCTAAGGCGCTGCACATTTATCACTGGAGGAAAGGTCCTGAAACCTAATCCAGGATGCAAGTGAGACTAGCAGTAGCCTCCATTTCTCTGAGATGCTAGAGAAGGGATGAAACAGACCCTTACTGCAATATTTTTGGCCAAAGAGGACTCAAAGTCCCTTACTCTCTCTCTTTTAGAGATATGGGTTTCACTACATTGCCAGGCTGGTCTTCAACACTTGGACTCAAGGGATCCTCTGACCTTGGCCTTCCAAAGTGCTGGGATCACAAGCTGAGCCACCGTGAGCAGTCAGTCCCTCATTCTTGGTTCCACTCTGGGTCCCACCTCTCCTTGCTCTTTCTGCACGTCCATTACCTACTTTCGTGAGCACCAGGCACAACTTTCATCTCAATGTCTCCCTACCTCATTCCCAGCAGGGCACACAACACAGTGCTTTGCCTTGGACAGTTTTCTGTATTATTGAGGTGAATGCATGAGTCGATGAAGGCTGTGCTGTTTTTTTTCCCACCTGAAGGTTTTGCAGTAGTTCTCTACTGCTGTTGTGATAAACTGCAATATTACTGTGATAAACACAGTAATAGCAGAGGAAAACCACACAAATTCACTATTTTATAGTTCTGGAGGTCAGAAGTTTGAAATGCGTCATACTGGGCTAAGATCATGGTGCTGGCACCTTGAAGGCTGTGTTCCTTCTTGTGGCTGTAGGGGAGAGCAACCAGCTTCTGCAGGCCGCCCACATTCCTTGGCTGGTGGCTCTTCCTCCATCTTCAAAGCTAGCACTGCTGCGTCATTCTGTCTTCTTTCCATACTCACATTGCCTTGTCTCCTCTTTTCTGCCCCCACCCCTTTCCACTTTTAAGGACCCTGGGGATTACATTGAGTCTAATGAGATAATCCAGATAATCTCTCTATTTTAAGGTCAGCTGATTAGCAACCTTAATTCCATCTGCAACCTTAATTCCCCTTTTGCCAGGTAAGGTAACAAATTCAGAGGTTCCAGGGATTAGGATGTGGACATCTTTGGGAGACCATTATTCTGCCAACACAGATTTCCTTCTTTCTTCCTTTCCTTTTTCTTTTCTTCCTTCTTTTTCATTTCTTTGAAAATAAATGTCACATGTATTTCATATTGCCTTTTTGTTTGTTTGTTTGAGATAGGGTCTCACTCGGTCACCCAAGCTGGAATACAGTAGCATGATCACAGCTCACGGCAGCCTCAATCTCCTGGGCTCAGGTGATCCTCCCATCTCAGCCTCCTGAGTAGCTGGGACTACAGGTGCACGCCACCATGCCTGGCTAATTTTTTTGACTTTTTATAGAGACGGAGTCTTATTATGTTGCCCAGGCTGGTCTTGACCTTTTGGACTCAAGTGATCTGGCTGCCTCAGCCTCCCAAAGTGCTGGGATTACAGGCATGAGCCACTGCACCCAGCCTATATTGCTATTTCTTATATCAACTCTCTCTCTCTCTTTTTTTTTTTTTTTTTGAGATGGAATCTCATTCTGTCACCCAGGCTAGAGTGCAGTGGCAATCTTGGCTCACTACAACCTCTGCCTCCCAGGTTCAAGTGATTCTCCTGCCTCAGCCTCCTGAGTAGCTGGGGTTATAGGAGCGTGCCACCATGCCCAGCTAATCTTATATCAACTCTTGATTTAAAAATAATTGAGTCTGGGCACAGTGGCTCACGCCTGTAATCCCAGCACTTTGGGAGGCCAAGGCAGGTGGACCATTTGAGGCTAGGAGTTCAAGACCAGCTTGGCCAACATGGTGAAACCCCGTCTCTACTAAAAATACAAAAATTAGCTGGGTGTGGTGGCGCCTGCCTGTAATTCCAGCTGCTTGGGAGGCTAAGGCATGATAATGCTTGAATCTGGGAGGCGAGAATCGCTTGAACCTGGGTGGTGAGCTGAGATCGCGCCACTGCATTTTAGCCTGGGTGACAGAGTGAGACTCAGTCTCAAAAAAAAAAAAGATTAAAAAAATTTTAAGAAAATTGTGAGAAATTGTGGCCAAGTGAGGGCATTCTGATGAGGTACTAGGCTGCAGTGGCTTACATATCTTACTTTTGCTGATAAGAATATGGGCAACTGGATGGTTAGTGTTCCCTTGGGTGGTGCCTCTCATATCCACTCATTTCAAGCAGGCTTTTGACAGCAAGATTAGGGTTCCTGACAAGCACTTCAATTCCCGATGATCCATTTTGTTTGAAAGGAAGTCTGTAAGATTTTTAAGTCTGTTTTTTTTTTCTCTGAAAACTTGCCCACTTATGGAAGTATGATGGATCTCATATGAACTGTGCATATTTAGTGTCCAATTTGATGAATTTCAGCATATGGAGGTGGGATGGATCTGGTATGAACTATGCATATTTAGTGTACAGTTTGATGAGTTACAGCACGTCTATGGAACTACCACCTCAATCAAATGACTCCAAAATTTTCCTTGTACTGCTTTGTAACCCTCATCCCACCTTCACACACCCAGGCAGTCTTTAACTGGCTCTCTGAGAAGCTTCTACTCTGGACCATGAAGGCTTTTCTGATCAATTATTTTGTCTTCATAAGTTTCATTGCTCTTAGCTGCCTGTTGGTCTCTCAGTGACACAGGTGGATTGAGAACAGGCCCAAAGCAAAGAGGACTGTGACCCATACATTGATATGTCTGGGTTAAATAAATAGAAATCCACTATCAGGCCGGGCGCAGTGGCTCACACCTGTAATCCCAGCACTTTGGGAGGCCGAGGTGGGCGGATCGCCTGAGGCTGGGAGCTTGAGACCAGCCTGGCCAATATGGTGAAACCCTGTCTCTACTAAAAATACAAAAATTAGCTGGGCGTAGTGGCAGATGCCCTTAATCCCAGCTACTCAGGCAGGCTGAGGCAGGAGAATCGCTTGAACCCAGGATACGGAGGTTGCAGTGAGCCAGGACTGCACCATTGCACTCCAGCCTGGCTGATACAGCAAGACTCTGTCTCAAAAAAAAAAAAAAAAAAAAAAAAAGGAAATCCACCTTCAATTAGGATGTAAAATATAAGCGCTAAATTCTTTTCACGTATCTGAAGTAGAGAAACCTGACATCCTCTCTTGATTTTTAGGCAAATTATATGTTTTCTCTCAATAACAATCTTACCTTTAATTGAATTGCATTAGTTAACAACCTTGCCTCTTAAGAATGTAAACTAATTCACATGCTGCCTGTAAAAGCCTCTTCTCTTAGTTCCAATCATGTACTCAATTGATTTCATAATCCCACATTGGAGTTGGGGTGAAACTAAGAATTTGGACAACCTGTGCCTTAATTTTGGTGGTTTAATGGTGTAGAATAGGCACAGAGGGGGATAGAATTAGCTTTTGAGGAAGCTGTTAGCACAGAACATCGAAGGGGTGAGAGAAACGCCTTAAAGTGTCACCGTGACTGCCTCACTGTTGTAACCAGCCCAGATGTAAAGATGACCCACAGCCCATATGGTCACCAAGAACATCCTCTGTCGCTCAGTGCAGCCCTCTTCCCCACTCCTCTGAGTTTCATGTGGGGAGATCAAAGACTGGAACCCGGAACACATGTGCCTGAAATGCAAGTGTGCTCAGAAACCACAGGGCTAGCCACACACTGCACAGCCAGACGAAGCTTTATGAAGGAGGAAGGAAATGCTTTCTCTTACACAGGGCCAGAAACCCAGTGCAGTGCCCAAATCCTTGCCACCTCTTGGCTTGGTGGGTCAGTCTGTGCCCACCCCGCATTCTCCCTGTGACTGGATTTATCTTTCCTTAAGTGTAGATGTTTTTACCAAGTGGGGACCTTGGTTACATCTGGTCTCGGCAGGTATCTTCAGTCTTTGCCTGCCGCCAAACCAGCCTCCAGGGATTTCAGACTTCAGCATGGCTTGTGGGGGCAGAAGGAGGTTGCAGGGCTGATAGCAGCCTTCAGCAGCCTGGAGCTTCATGACAACCACCATACTGAGATAACATTGGTCGTGGCTTCTGGGTGCCTCATAAATTTACTTTCAGATTTCAGGAAGGCCTCATTTTTATGCTTTATCCATGAACCGTATGTGCTAGTAGTTACTTTTCAGCTATTCATTTATTTTTTCATTCAACAAATATTTGTTGAACTTGTATGGTGTGATTTTATGAAGTGCTGGGGATGCAGCAATGAACAAAACCAACACAAATGCTTTTCTGCACTAAGTATATGTTCCAGTGAGCAAGACACACAAGTTATATATATGTAATGCATATATGTGTATGTGTACTTATTTCTCTCTCTATATATATATGTATGTATAGACATACATGTATATACAATTAGTAATAAGCACTAAGAAAAAAATTAGGCAAGGACAGGGAAATTGAAGGGTTGTTGTGATGGGAAATTTTAGAAGGGAGAGAAAGCATCAACAAGAAGTGCAGGAATGAGCCATGAGAATGACAGGAGGAAGCTCATCCTAGCAGTAAGAGTAGCAGGTGCAAAGGCCACGAGGCAGAAGGAAATGTCTGTAGGTCACCCTAAGGCCTTGAAAATCATAGAAAAGAAATTGGCTTTTATTCAGAGACAGGAAGCCCTGGAGAGTTGAGCAGAGGGGGCCGGGCACGGTGCCTCACGCTTGTAATTCCAGCACTTTGGGAGGCCGAGGTGGGTGGATCGCTTGAAGCCAGGAGTTTGAGATCAGCCTGGCCCACATGGTGAAACCTGGTCTCTACTAAAAATTCAAAAGTTAGCTGGGCGTAGTCGTGCATGCCTGTAATCCCAGCTACTTGGGAGGCTGAGGCATGAGAATCGCTTGAACACAGGAGGTGGAGGTTGTAGTGACCTGAGGTGGCACCACTGCACTCCAGCAACAGAGCAACAGAGAGAGACTCTGTCTCCAGAAAAAAAAAAAAAAAAGAGTTGAGTTGAGTAGAGGAGTGACATGACACTTACCAAGATATGTCTGGCTACTAGATTGGAAAGAGGATGCAGGACAACAGAGCAGAAGCAGAAAAATCGGTTAGGAGATGACTACAATCATCCAAGGGAGAGACAATGGCTACTGGGACCTTAGAAGTGGCAATGAAGGTCGTAAAACGAAATTGGATCTGAATATACTTTGGAGGCAGAGTTGTAGGATTTGCTTTCAGATCGAATGTGTGAGAGAAAGAGGAGTCAAGGATGACTCCAAGGTTTTGACCTAAGTGATTGGAAGAATGGAACTGACATTAACAAAGATGGGAAGACTGCAGGAGGAGCTTGTTTGGGGGAGATATTAGGAGTTCAGATTTGGACCTGTTACTATTTTAATATGGCATACATAGTTGCTCCTTTAGTAGTTACTATTTTTAATAGTTACATGGGATACATAGTTAAGGCTTACATAATTACTATTTTAATGTGGCATACATAGTAGTCACACAACGGAATATTATACAGCAATCAAAAGGATCAATTCCATTAACACACCATATGTTTGAATCTTAGAAATTACATATTAAGTAGAAAAAAGCAGAGACAGGAAGCCCTGGAGAGTTGAGCAGAGGGGGCCGGGCACAGCCTTATTTATTATAAATAAATAAACAAGTATTTATTTGCATAAATACTCTTTATGCAAAATTACAAAACTTAAACGAAATATGTTTGGAATGCATCTAGGTGCAGTGCAACTGTCCAAAAAGGGAAGTAAAGAAAGATGAACATGAGATTTAGGTCAGGGATGACAGAGAGAAGGGATGGGTATGATTAGATGTGCCTTATTGTCATGCTGGTTTCATGGACACTTATTTCATTATTAAAAACAATTAACTTAGCCAGGCGTGGTGGCTCACCCCTGTAATCCCAGCACTGTGGGAGGCTAAGGCAGGGTTACTGCTTGAGGCCAGGAGTTCAAGACCTGCCTGGGCCACCTCAATAGTGAGGCCCCATCTCTACAAAATAAAAATTAAAAATAACAGCTGGATGTGGTGGCATGCACCTGTAGTCCCAGCTACTCAGGAGGCCGAGGTGGGAGGATTGTTTAAGCGCAGGAGTTTGAGATTACAGTGAACTGTGATGGTGCCACTGCACTCCAGGCTTGGTAACCAAGCAAGACCTTGTCTCTAAAATAAATAAATACATAAAAATAGTAAACTTACTATGAACAAGTGGGACTTATCCCAGGAATGCAAGGTTGGTATGTATTTGAAAATCAATTAATATGATAGTATCAACAAAATAAAGGATGAGGTGTGGGCCTATAGTCCTAGCGACTTAGGAGAATGGGGTGGGAGGATTGCTTGAGGCTGCAGTGAGTTTTGATCCCACCACTGCACTCTAGCCTGTGCGAAAGAGCAAGATCTAAACAAAAAACAAAAAATAAAAAACAAACAAAAAAAAACAGCCTTGTGTGGTGGCTCACACCTGTAATCCCAGCACTTTGGGAGGCCAAGGCAGGCGGATCACTTGAGGTCAGGAGTTCAAGGCCAGCCTGGCCAACATTGTGAAACCCTGTCTCTACTAAAAATACAAAAAGTATCCAGGCAGGTGCGGTGGCACATGCCTGTAGTCCCAGCTGCTCAGGAGGCTGAGGCAGGAGAATTGCTTCAACCCAGGAAGCAGAGGTTGCAGTGAATTGAGATCATGCCACTGTACTCCAGCCTGGGCAATAGAGCGAGACTCTTTCTCAAAAATAAATAAATAAATAAATAAATAAATAAATACAAATTTAAAAAAGGAAAAAACGAAAATCACATGATCATCTTAATAGATACAGAGTAAGTATTTTACAAAATCCAACACCCTTTCATGATTTAAAAAAACACACAACAGACTAGTAATTGAAGGATACTTCCTCAACCTGATAAAAGGCATCTACAAAACCTCACAGCTAACATCATACTTAATGGTGAAAGACTGAATGCTTTTCTCTAAAGATCAGGAACAAGATTAAGGATATCCACTTTTGCCACTCCTATTTAATGTTGTACTAGGAGGTTCTAACCAGGGGAATTAGGCAATAAATAAATGAAAGATTAGAAATTTTAAAAAAAGGGGCATCCAAAATCGAAAAAAGAAAATAAAATTATCTCTATTTTCAGATATATAATTTATTTCAGATATATACAGAAAACATAAGGAATCCACTAACAAAAATAGGACTTACGAAGTGCATTCAGCAAAGTTGCAGCATACAAGATCAGTGTATGCAAATTAATGATATTTCTATACGCTAACAACTCCATTTACAATAACATCAAAAAGAATTTTAAAAATTGGGAATACACTTAAAGGAAGTGCCAAGTTTGTACTCTGAAAATTACAAAGCATTACTGAATGAAATTAAAGACCTAAATACATGAAAAGACATCTCCCCAAACACCAGTGGGCCTTACAGCCCAGGCAGATTCTGTAACCCTGGTTCACCAGGTCAGTCCCCAGCTGGGCCTACTTTGTCTCCTCTGCAAGAAAGGATCAGGAGATATCATTGTATTGCCAAGACCAAATACCAGCATTAGAGAACTTTTAGGACTGTGTAATCAGTGATTATGAAAATAAAGAGCTCTCCTCTTCCTTGTTGCGAAGTAGCAGAGCATTTATGGCGAAAGCCAAGAACGCACAGAGTTGAGCTGTTTCCGAGGTCAGCCAGACCGAAAGCCCAGCTCCTCCCTCTGTGTGTACATGGCCCGGCATCAGCGCTGGAGTGGGTGGAATACCAGCACCTACATCAAAGGGTTGTTGTGAGGATTAAGTAAGATAACACGTGGACAGCACTGCGCTCGGCACATCATTAGGGGACTTATTTCTAAAGTAGTGATAAGAGTGTCATCCAAGCCTGCTCCACCTCATAGAGAGAATTGCCTGACACGAGAGCCCTCTTGAGAGGCAGCATAAATGAGTCATTGAGAGTATAAAGCCTGGAGCCTCACTGCTGAACTGCAATCCCAACATTCACCACTCACCTGTTCATCGGTTAATGAGGTTGCTTAGCATCTCTACATCTCAGTGTCATCTTAGGTAAGATGAAAATGTCTCAGCCCATTTGGGCTGCTGTAACAAAATACCATAAACTGGGTGGCTTAGGCACAACAGACACTTATTTCTTGCAGTTCTGGAGGCTGGGAAGTCCATGATCAGGGTGCTGTAGATTTTAGTGTCTGGTGAGGGCCAATTTCCCGGTTCATAGACAAAACCTTCTCACTGTGTCCCCACGTGATAAGAAGGGGCAAGGGCACTCTCTGGCGTCTTTTTTATGAGGACACTGATCTCATTCATAAGAGCTATGCCCTCATGACCTAATTACATCCCAAGGGTCCTACCTCCCTAATAGCAGCACCTTGGGGGTTAGGTTTCAGTGTCTGAATTTGGAGGGGATACAAACTTTCAGACAGTAGCAGATTAATAATAATAATAACATATATAAATATTTTAACAATATTTTATTATTTTATAAGTAATAAATGTAACTTTTATTTATATTTTATTTTATAAAAATATAAATATATTTTTAATAATAATAATAATAGCTACCTCTTGAGTTGTTGTGAGGTGTAAATGATTTAAAGTATGTGAAGGCTGGGTACAGTGGCTCACACCTGGAATCCCAGCACTTTGAGGGGTGGAGGCAGGAGGATTGCTTTAGTCCAGGAGTTCAAGACCAGCCTGGGCAACAAAATGAGACCCCTGTCTCTACAAAAAAATGAAAAAATTAGCCGGGCATTGTGGCACATGTCTGTGGGTCTAGCTACAAGGGAGGCTGAGGCAAGAGGATCACCAGAGTCCAGGAGGTTGAGGCTGCAGTGAGCCACTGCACTCTAGCCTGTGCAATAGAGTGAGACTGTCTCAAATAAAAAGAGTATATGAAGTCCATTGACCTGTATCTCCTGATGAGATATATACTAAGAGGAACACAGCAGCCCTTCTGTGAGATTGCTGACAAAAATTACATAAGTCTAATCACGAGGAAACATCAGACAAAGTTGAATTAAGGGACATCCTACAAAATAACTA